CGGCGTTTCTTCGTACAACGCGAAACCCATATACCCCGTTTTAATATTCCGAGTTAGTTACGGGAAACGCTGCTGGCGCTGCTCGCTGCTCCTTCGAGGCGTAACCCGACCGCCCCCTTCCAGGAGGGTGTGGCCGTAAATTCTCCCACCACGATGGAAGAGATTGGACGCGGACGTAATCCTCCTTACATCAACCTGAACCGACGCACGTTCGAGGCTCGTTTTATGCAGTCGTTACGTATCTGTTGCATTGCCAGTGAGGTTCTGAGGTCAACAACTTTTCCACCGATGCAATATCTAAATGTTGTCAAATGCTTCCTTCGAGTTGGACGGGATTTTGCTTAAGTGCGAATACGAATTGGAAAATCTGAGTGAAATATTATGATTTGTGACGAACGGATTAATGTCTTAACCGTGGTCGTTATTCCTTCTATCAATTTTTTCCACTGTACCTGTGAAGTTTCTCGATTTACTTCAAACATTTTCTGGCACACTCGTCTATCGTTTTTGAGCTATACTTTCCTCATCGTCTTTTGGTGAAAGAACCATAGATCCCAAATATATCCACCATCCACCGAAATATAAATTTTATTTGTTTCCTCAAGGTCCCTCTTTATGGGCAATCTGTCATGAAAGATTTTTGATAATTCCAAGAATAATGAAAAAATGACAACTTTCAGCGCCCAATAGCCGAAAATTAAAAAAAAGTCTATAGGTATCAAATTTTTTGACCTAAAAATTTTCCGTTTGAGGGCGTAAAAATGTTAAAATAAATAAGAACTAAAAGTTTAGATTTTCACGAAATTATATATTTTTACATGACAATTTTTTCGACAACACCGTGTCATTATCAAATGTAATATTTACAAACTACCTGCCACTATATATACCGAAAAATGACCATAAAACCTTAATTAATGTTGTAAAATATCAAAATTGTCGTCAAAAATGTGTTTTTCTGTGTTTAAGTGTGTAGCATAATTAGAATCTAGACTATTGTTTTTAAACGCTTTTTAATGTTCGTTAATGCGTTTCTTGAAGGATCTACATGTTTGTCCAATATAAATTTTAGGACAAGATCCGCATTTCAACCTGTAGACACCTGATTTTTGAGATTTTGGACATTTCGTTTTATTATTTTTTAAAAATTTTCTTATTGTGTTGTTAGTTCTGAAAGCTATTTTTAAACCAGATTTTGACAAATGTTTTGAAACTTTTTCACTAGGTTCTCTGTATGTAATTGTTTTAAATTGTTCGTGTTCTGTATTAGGTTTTGGATAAATAGAGTTTACAATTTTTAAAATTTGTTTAATGATATTAAGTTCTTTGTTGTAATTTTCTGTTGAAGGTGGCGTATTAAGAAGTCTGTGTATAAAAAAGTGAAATTTATGTATGACTGTGTCCGTGTGTGAAGGTTTATATAATTTGTTTTGCGCTTTCGTAATAGCTAGGTCTAAAAAATTAATAGAGTTATCCTGTTCAATCTCGATAGTGAATTTTATACGATTATTTAATGAGTGAATGTAATTTAAAAAGAATTAAATTGTCTGTCTGTTCCAGCAAAGCAAACAAAGAGATCATCCACGTATCTATACGACCATAGAAAACTTTTACTTAAAGGATGTTCTAGTATGGTATTTTCCAAATTATCCATAAAAATCTCGGCTAACAAAGGACTAAGTGGAAAATCAAACCTTCTTTAGAGATGTAAATTTGTCCATTAAATTCAAAATAATTTTGGTCTAAAGATACTATTAAGCAATCTAATAAATCTTGTTTCACCTATGGGTTAACCTGTTTCCGAGTTAGGGTGAAATCTACTAAATCTATCATATCCATAGGTTGCATTAGAAGGAATTTTGATATCTTTAATTTTGTTGATTAATTCAAAATAATTTTTTATTGTAAATTTTGATTGGAAAAGTTCTGGTTTAAGAAAATTGTTGCTTTTTGAAATATATTCTAGGAGATCCATAGCTATGACTGTCTTCCCTTTATCTGCATGTGTGTTGCGTTAGAAGGAATTTTGATATCTTTAATTTTGTTGATTAATTCAATAGAATTTTTTATTGCAAATTTTGGTTTAAAATATTTACTAATTTTGTTGAGAGTTTAACTGCTCGAGCTCTTACATAAGACTTCTGGTCTAATGCGCATATCTTGTTTATGTAATTTAACTAAAGAATATAATTTCGGCGGTTGTGGATTCATGAATCATGATATTTTGACTAGATCATCTGCAGTAAATTGAACGAATATTTGATGAAAATTTATAGATTTATAGAACTTTTTTTTCTAAAACAATCATCTACCACCAAACGCGCAATTTGAATTTGTTTCGACTGGTTGCTATAAAAGCAATAGTATGGTCTCAGATGTAAATTCTCTGCAAACCACAAGAATGGTTGACATACTCACATGAAATAGATACATAGTGTCTGATTTGTTCGATTCGTTATCTCTTTTCATATGGCTTTCGGTTACAGAGTTAAACTGATTTCGTGCCAATACATACTTTTAGAATAACTATCAGTTTAGGTAAACATAGAAATGTATTTTTTTTTATTCTGTTCATATAAAGCATTTAAATAAAAATTAAAATAAATAATTTATTTATAGAAGTAATCTACCTACAGTCATTACTAAAAATTCAATTATTTATTAATATTATATTAACGTGGAAAAACGAACTTTCAATGGAGACTACGGCAGTCAGGCTTAAAAGCTAAAACGCAAACAATTTTTGAAAAATGTAGAGTGGCGACGCGGACAACTGACTAGTTTTTGATACTGCAAATAATATGTTATATTTAACACTGTTCTTCATAATAAACATAAACTATATTTGTGTGATGAGTTGTTTTGTTTTTCTGAAAAGTAACGGTTCACACGTCCGATAAATACACGTAATAATAATCGCGGGTGAACGCAGCAGCGAGTTGACTTCCCTTAACATTTAATTGAACCGAAATGAGAAAAATGGTTTATTTTCTTCGCAAACAAAACACTTAGGGGTTGCGCTGAAGTTGTCGTCAGTAATTATTCAAGTGGTACAGCGACGGTGGTGAGCGAATTTATAAAGCTGGAAAGTTGGACCGAAGTTGTCAAGTTTAACCATTAATTACGGCAAGCGACGTATGCGTTCGCCATTTCGGTCTTGCTTGCTGCCCCGTGTTTTGCACGGATTTTTAAATATGTGTAAATAATGTCGAATAGGAAATTGCAGAGTAATGCAAATAAGTAATGTAAATAGTGTTCATTTTTAAATCGATTTTAAATATATAGTTGCGTGTTAATCGAACTTGGAAAATTAAAAGATACTTTATTAAAAATATTTATATGACTTGACACAAAAAATTTGTTTATTCACTTAGAAAAATGACGGAGAAATTAGGGCGCAACGTTACCATAAATACCTTCCGTATTTACAACACTGACTTAGAAAACATTTAGCTAACCAATTTTTAATTATATGGCAAAAGTAAATGGAATATTAAGCAACAAGTGTGACAAGCGCCATTTTAGTCATGACAAGTTTATAAACGTTTTGCATAATATAGTATACTTTTTCTGCGACCATTAGCTTTTTGGTAATTTTTTGCAAAATGGCACAAATGTGTGACGCGAACTTCAGAACTGACAAACATCAAAATTCCAGAGCTAAAATCTACCAAAACATCCGATCCCTCCCAAACCCGTGACTCAGGTACCGGAATCGTCCGAAGTGGCTTGCAACCGTGACTGTGGATAATAAACTCGAAATCAATACCACAGAGATATCTGTCGAGCAGTAGCTATCCGCTTAGGTCCTATTGCGGTCCTATGAAACAGTTCTTCGTGATTACTGGTTCCTTTTAAAGCCCCACTACCTCTAACAACTTTATGGCAACGATGTACAGACAACTCTGTAAAACATCGCGTCACTGTTGTTGCATTTCAGTCATTCCCCGAATGGACATCCCAGCCTTTCGGAGGCAGAAAATAAAATGAGCTTGTTCCTATTTTTACAAGATACATACAAGATAATAACAATAAAACTGAGTAACTCTTTAAGCAAATCCTTAAAAAGGAACCTAACTAATCTTTTGCGTTTGGTTTACTATACTTCATGTAAGCAACCTGGGAAAGTAATTACTTCTTTTTTTCCATTTATGAGTAGGTACTGGTACAATTTCTATTTCCGATCTTTCGTATATAGCTTTAGTGTAAAACTTTATTTGGAAACTGTTTAGCGCAGATGCATTCAGCTCAGGAGTAATATTAAATTGATTTTTAATTTTTTGTCAAAATATATATGGCGGATTACAAAGCAACATACTTATTATCAGATTTTGGAAAACTAAGTAGTGATATAAGTTGAATTAAAAGTGGATTTCACCATTCCCATTTCAAATTTGTTGAAACCAACTTATGAGTTGCGTCTAAAATTGTTCACACTTCATATTTAAAAAAATATATCAAACAAACAGGGTTTCTTCACTTTCTCCGTTTATTGGAGATTCCATTATTAGCGAAAAGCCAGAATTCTGTTTTTGGACACCGTCTCTTCCATTTCGTTATGTGCTCATCACTGTCCAAATTTTAGTATAATTTGTAGTTGCCCAGAATGACGCTGATGATATTATTTCTAACGACATTGCTTGGTGTTATATTTTTTCGTTACTTTGAGAAGTAATATCGACTGTTGTCCATGCATTGGCAAATATGTCATTTTATTTTAGACAGTGACTTTACCAACAGAAATACGGACGATTAAAATGTTTATGATGTTTCGACATCTAGTAGGACATTTCCTAATTGAAAGTTCAGAGAGAAATAAAATAGAAATCAATTCGAAACGAATTCACTAAACTTGGCTATCAAGTCATAGATGGCGCATTATTAAAAATATCGGTTTAAAGGAGAAACCTGTTGTATAACAGTTTCGGCCAGATTCCTTGAATCAAATGGAAACGACCAATGTAGACTGTCAATGTCAAAGAAGATGGGTTCATCGGCTAATTCATGGTATTCATGGCAAATTATAAGAATTTACTGTGATAAAATCTGATAGTCATTGGGTTGGCTATCAGATTGTTGTTTTAAAGTCCAATTGGATTAAAATATTAATTTCTTGTCCCATCTTGTCTTGTTAACTAACACTTTTGGTAAAAGAAATATAGTGATTGATTCAATTTTTTTGTTTTTTCATAAATAAAAATGTTAAATTTTGTTTTTACAAAAATGGCTAGTGAGTGGTCTAATTTGTCAGAAACTGTTTATTAAATTTGTAATAGAAGCAGCTACAAATTTTCTCATATAATTATTCTAAAAAAACAAAACTACTAATGAAGCAATGATGGTGCCCATCAGAAAAAACATAGCAACAAAAGATGTGCTTTTCATTTTGAGCTATCTTGTGAAATCACTCCAGGGAACCTTAAAATGAAAATCTTAATTTTCCATTTTTCTAGTAGCTACGAAATCTTGCCCCATTTTAACAATCTTGCTACGACGTCTAGATAGAGCTCCCAATGGTGTGGATTCAATTTGAATTACTCTGCATATTAACTGAAATTTTCTCATTAAATTGAAACAATAAAATAAAGCAATCTAAACATTAAGTGGTTTAATTTAAGAGAATAGCTGTTTAATCCATCTTCTTTTGTATTTGTTTTTGTAGCCCTCTCCCCCCTTGTATATATTTTAATTAGTAATTGTATTTAGTAAAGGAATACAAGGTCAATTTAATGAACATTTGATTTATCATGGCAAAATGTATTGTTTTCAAGATGAAACTCCTTCGCAGGTAAGTGTTGAGTTGTAATGTTCACCTAATCTATACAAATGCCGATGATACGTAATGACTAATTCCGGACCATTAATATTTTCTCCTTGTAAAGTAGGAGGACTACCAGCTTGAATAATTTTTATGGGACATGAAACAATACTTGAAAGAGCTTTAAGTTCCAACTGACTACCCCAAAGTTTGGTTGTCTCCACATTTTTACAATATTTCTCAAAAGTTTCTTCATTTATTTCATCATCGCTGTCCAATTCGTTGAACATAAATGGAAGGAAGTCATTCTTGTTTTTACGCATAAAATCTGCAGTTTTCTTCCGCAGGTCGCTAATGCTGTATGTTGGTTGGCCCATAATTTCGAGTTGATGATTTACAGCAAGATACAAACAATTTCCATCAGCAGGTATGTTATATATCTGCCTGTTACATGCCTTGAGCAATTGTTTTATTAAAATCATTTCAGTGTGCCTAGGTCCTTCTTTATTTCGTTCCGCCTGTTCAGTGATCCTTTTTTCCCGTTCTTTTGCGTCTTGGTCCTTTTTATTTCGCCGTTTTTGAGCTCGCGAAACCCGTTGAACCTGCAATACTTCTTCCTGTATACTGTTTTCACTGGATGCACAATGTTTTTCCCCTGTACCATTTTCATTTGGTGCCATTTTATTTAGAGCATCTGCTTCGCTTAATTCTTTTTTGTGTCTTTCTTCCAATTCTTTCTCCAAAATGGTAATATCTTCGTTAACTTCTTTTTTTCGTTTCTTATCACCTTTGGGTATGCTTTTTTTCATAGAATGGATTTGAGCTTGCAAATCCTTTTTTTCTTTTCTGTGTTTTTTAAGCAAGTTGTCGTGCTCTGATGGTATATTTTCATCCATATTAACTTTTTCAATACGATATAAAATTTATATTCAAAAGCAGAGAGCAGAAGGCAAAGGAATAATCCAAAAGGAAACCTCAACAATAACGTATTTTAAAAAAGGGTGGGCAAAACTAATATGAACTCTTGCCCAATTTTTGTTTAGAAAGGATAACATTAATAATGACTTCTTACTTGTTGACAAATTGCAAACAAAACCAATTCGAGAGGACTTGACCAAAATTTACAAAGAAATAATTATTCATAAAGAAAGAACCTTTGAACTATGGAATCGTCCGTCCCACTGTCGTTTTACATTACCACCTTCAACTCTAAACCCACAGAGTATAAAGGTTATTTGTACCTAAATCAGTAAACCAGATCAAACACGTTAAAACGAACGATAGCTACTTTCCAAAAAAGTTCGTAAAACGCTAAACCATTTAGCTATTAGCTAACATAGTGGCACTACCACGGAAAAAATTGCTGCGCCAACCATTAATTCATCTTCCTTTATATTTGGTAGGTGACTATTAGATATACTCACTAACTTGCACTTTGCGCTATTTTCTTTCTAACCAGCGATATCCACTGACCTAATTCCTTTTTGCCTCAAGATTTAAAGGTATCTGGTGATATTTTGAGGAAATACTGCCTTAAAATTGTCACATCCAAACTTATTGACGATCTGTCAATGGCCATTTTGGTTATTGAATGACGCAAAGTCATTAGTTCAAAACGGGCACGTGCATGTGGAATGACCTCAAAATGTTTCACAATTTTCAGTATTATCAGCAGTAGGCAGTCTCTATATCTCTAGTAGCTACATGGTTTCAGTTCTATAGCTATTAGAGTATATAGTGACCATACTTCGGTAAAAATTGATGCGCCGCAGGCTGGATTGACACTTTCGGAGAAAGTAATTATTTCTGCTTCTATATTTGACCCACTAACCCACACATATTTTTAAAAAATACTGCCTTAAACATGAAGCGGCCATGTTGGTTGTTCAATTCCGCAAGGTCATCGCTTAAAAAACCAGATTTTAAATCTCCCGCATGCATCTTCTCCATATTTTTTCATAGTTGCTTCATAAGTTTTGGCATTCGGTAGGGCCTCTAAATCTATAGTAGCTACATGGACTTAAATAATACATGAAACTTGTTTGGAGTTGACTAGATGACGTCACTAGCGGAAATTAATCAAGGAACTACGTATCCTCTTCCAAAAGAGGTAAACCAAAAATATACTCGGAATCAGATGATGAGTCCCTCATGATGATACCAGCAAATGTAATAAGAAAACTTTTGTCTGGAAAAATATTATCTGCGAAAGGCTCACATTTAACAGATTTAGTTTTAGAATTTATAGTTCAATCATGGTCAAAATAAAGTTTATTGAAAACGATGTTGGCTATATGAACACTTCTTAGAGCAATTAATCAAAAGTTAACTCCAAGAGATGTATCCATCAATCAAGTAATTTGATAAGGTTTATAGAACAATACAATACGTCTTACAACTAAACGTTTTAAATAAAAAGACATTAATCTGACTTTTCACTTGAATTCTGTCTCTTCATGGACTTCAAAGCTTTCTCCCTCAATTTCTTCTCATCTTCAACAACGGCATCTGCGTCTGAATCTGAATCGTCACTCTCAACCTTCTTCTTTTTATGTTTCTTATGCTTTTTTGAATGCTTCTTCCTCTTCTTATGTTTCTTCTCCTTTTTGCGTTTTTTGCTCTCACCGTCATCGTCCGACTCGCTCGCCGACTTTGGTTTCTTCTTATGTCTCCTCTTCTTCACTACATCTTCCTCACTATCAGATGAACTATTCTTCTTCTGCCTCTTGGAACTGTCTTTACCCGATTCGTCGGAGCTGTCGTGTTTCTTTTTACTCTTCTTCGAAACCTCATTATCGCTCGACTCGTCACGTTTTGTCTTTTTAACTTTGTCCGAACTCGATGACCGCGCTCGTTTCTTTTTTAGCTTCTTGTCGTCTTCCGAATCAGTAGTCTGCCTTCGCTTCTTAACCACCCGTTCCTCACTCGAAGCCCGCTTTTTTCTCTCTTTGCCCTTCTTTGATTTAACTTCTACCTCAGGGCTACTGCTCTTTCCACGTTTACTAACTGAAGAACGTTCGTCATCACTATCGCTTGAGCTTGTATCATGTTTCTTAGGCTTTCTCTTCCTTTTCACTTTCCTCTTCTTTTCCTTTTCGCTGTCTGAATCGCTAGAATCCGAGTCTGAACTACGAGATGATTTCCTAACCCGCGACGACTTGGTTTTAATTTCAGTTTCTTCCTTCAGTGACTTTCTCTTTTCATCTTTCAATGTGGCCGCTTTTGTTTTCGGCGGAAATTCTTTGGCTTTTATGAAGGGCGATGGTGTACGCGACAGACTACGAGAATACCTTGGTGGGCCAAATGGAGGTATAGGGTATTTATTTCTCGGGCTCACGCTACGTGACTTCAATTTCTGCTCCTTGTCTTTAGAGCGCAATCCGAACCCTGACGAACTACTCTCCGAAACAGTTTTCTTTTTCTCGTCTTTGTGATCAATATCTGCATCTCCTTTCTTCCGACTGTCGTCTGTTTTTTTCTGATGTTCCACGCTCTTTTTCTCATTGACGGTTTTCGGGACCGACGATCTCCCCTGTCTGGAACCTTCCCTCTCCTTCCTCACTTCTTTCTTCTGTGGACTGGGGCTCGATTTTCTGCCTTTGTCTCTACCTCTGTCACGACTAGGCGACCACCTCTTGGTGCTGCCGCGAGATCGCCTTCTCGACCTTGATCTTCTGTCCCTGGATTTCGATCTCCTGCGATCCTTGACGGGCGAAGACCGTCGATATGTTCTGTTTCTGCTACGGCTTCGTCGTGCCAATCTCCTAGAACCAAAGTTTGCGATAAAATGTTTATTAAATATTTTTAGTTTAATATCTGAAATTTTAGCAACATGCTAAGGTATTTAATAGAATAAAAGTTTTCGCTATCCACATCGCATCGGACACCTGCGTTACGCCCTAAAATTGGAAAAACAACATTAAAATGTTTCCTTAGAACATGAATTGTCAACTGTCCATTACAATAAACACTTATAGGATTTGCCGCCGAGCCCCATCGTGATTTTGACATTCCTTTACTTGCGCAATCTGTTCCTTAAAAATCAATCAAAGTAAAACACAAACTATAATACTTGGAATTACAGTAATTAAATATTATCTCTGACACTACACTATTTTCCGCAACTTTCGGTTTGACAGGAAGTGAAGGTATATTAAAAAATTGATTGGGGACAATCTGTACATGGTGTTTCTGAACAAAAAAAACTGTTAAACCGAATGCTGAAAACATTTAAAAAATAAATAAATAAAACATAAATTGTTTTCCTAAGTAACATCCTAGACTAATTTGCAGGAAAAAACGACCGTTTTAATTATGAACAGATGAATATAAAATCATTTAGTTTTTCGTAAAAGCCTGCTATTAATTCTAGGACAAATAAGAAAATGCTTTTCCTATCATATTTTAAATATTGTTTTTTTTTATTAATTTTGATTTGTTTTACAGTTATCAGTGTTATTTTGAAACAGTAAAAGATGGGGAAACAATAAACCAATGTGCAAATAAAAAACGAAATGACCTCTCCACAAAAGTGCAAGTCTAACTTTTAAATTCAAAACATAGGTTGACATTGTCGATATAAAGACAGTTATTTCAGGTAATTCAAACTTTCATATCGATTTTTCAATGCAAACTCCCCTATTCGAACTATTGTTTCTAGCTGGTCAACCCCGTCAAATACGACGAAAATCTTTTAAATAACATCTTGCAATTGTAGAATGTTATCTATCAGTATTTAATAATAATATGTAATTTATATTAAATTATTATGCGTTTGTGAAGTCCAATTTACCTATAGTCCTCTTGTATTTTTAAAATTATTTCGGTCAATTGACACAAAAAAAATCGACCGGTCAATTCCACAACCGTAATTCTACCCTTGTATGTCTTTCATGAATATGTCTTTCCATGGCTATTTTTTGAAAAATTCAACCACTGAATTACAATACAATAATGGTTACTTGTCCAGTTCATTAACATGCATTGAAAACAGAACGTCATGTATCATTGGTTGTGTGCGGAATTGTATATAGTAGCTGTCACCTTGCACTACTTTTCATTTGAAAACATTCTTGCGACCTCCTTGATTGACATTTATAATATATATGAGCTTTATAAACGACGACAAACAAGCTTTGGTTTTGGTCGTAGGCGCATCAAATATTACAAAATTCTGTACACTCACTCGGATCATGCCAAAAAACCAAAACCAATTAAAATTCGTGACAAATGTGTGGTTTATAAAACTTGTTGCATAATATACTATTAACATTTTGAAAATCTCAAAAATTACAGGAAAGTGCTATAATCAGATGAACTCTTATTATGGTCTAAAGGTCAAATTAGAAAACACAGGAACTACCAAATATCCAAGGCAAAGAAAATATTTGAAACCAATTTAATTTAAAAAGGCACTTTTTGAAATTTTGAAGTGATTTGCTACATTTAAATTTTCTATATTCTATTTTTCTATAAATTTGTGCTATCTGAATTTACATTTTTTAAACTTGTTTGATGGTACATTAATGCTTATCCTCCAATTGACTTTGATGAATTACCATTTTCGAATTATTTCATTAAATATGTTTTTTGTTTGGAGACACAAACAGTCAGAAAGTTTCAGTTCACTAATCATTTGGTCAATATGAACTTTTCCAATCACCCTTACGTTTCATATAGAAACAGTTCATGAGGCAATAAAGAAGTCGCTGTTAAGTCATAAAACCTGTGGAGTAAGAGGCATCAGATTATATTTAAAAAAAGGTGATAAGTAGTCACAAACATTAAATCAGTAATCTAATTCACTCGGTTTAACCCCAGCTTCTCCTGACCTCTCAAAAAAATGTTAAAACATCCTCCACTTTTAAAAAATAAGTCAAGCAATAGAGATTTCCGTCAGTGTAAAGAACACCAGCAGCATTTTTTGTTTAAAATTTCACCATTTGAAATATCAATTTTATTATACCAGAATCCTTATTAAAGAAATCTCTTTGTGGGAGCAACAACTGTAGTACTCTAAGCCAGACTCTCTGCTGCCAAAATAAGTCTTTTCAGTGACGTGGGATTACCTGACAACTCACAACCAATTATTAAACCTGCATATTCAAGCTTAGGGCGAATCCTGAAGACGATCTACAGTGCATGTCTGCTCCAGATCATTCTATCTCGTCAGTTGGTTTATACATCCGAGCTGAAGAATTGAACTTACCCGAGTTCCTAAAGTGTAGGGAACTAACCATAATAATATGGCGGCGGTTGCCGCTGAGAGAAACATCCGATAACGAGAAACCGATATTGCAATAGCAAATCATGCTGCGGCCTTCCCAACTCGAGCTGACTGGTTGGCTTTCATTCCTTATAGATCAATTCAAATCTTAGGCTCCATGTAGTAGTCGAATTCAGTGGTGGCTTGCCGACTGGATGAGACCTATCTTAGATCTCGGAGGCAAATGAAAGAAGATTGTTGTCCTGCTGTACTTGGTGCAGACGCAGAAATTGCCGCTGATTTCAATGAGGCTTGAGGATTGGGCGACATTCTAGTGGCTCCATAACCCTAGCGAACTGGCGCAGATTTATGTGCTTCTTTCCAATGGGAAGTTGGTGTCTGGCAGTCGCATTTAATGGACCTCGTTGATGTGGTTCTCCTCTCCGTTGACAGACTATCGGGACTAAAGCTGACTAGGGCACCCTTGATTGCGGCGAATGTTGTAGCTGACTAGGCTACTTCACTCATCTGATAGGGGAGGGGAGGAAGCTTGCTGTAGCTGATGGAGAGGACCTTCACCTTTGTTCCAAAGACAGTAATGCCCGCAAAGACACTTGATTTTACCGCAATCGTACCTTGCACTCACATCACCATCACAAAACCCCGAAATACTAGAACAGAAAAAATAAAGATCTTACATCAATCATAACATAAAGGAATTATTCCGAACTCACCTTCAATGTATCCCCGAGCGGCCTCAATGATACAACATTCATTACGGAAGAGTACCATAACATTCCTGCCGATCCTAGTAGTGAAGACTCACAGTGGTGGTGATGAAAATGCAAGAGGTCGAGAAGCGGCAGTTTCGATGGCAACAGAGTGGTACTTGTGCTTAGAGGTAGTACAGAAGGCTTTCGTACTAACCTGGTTAGCATAGTATGTTATACATTGCTTTGTTCCTTTCCACTTAATAGTTTATTGTTCCTCAATATATATAAATAAGCTGCTAACCGAAAACCCTATTGCTCCGAACCTCGGGCCAGGAATATCACATAATCAATCAAAAAACTCAGGAGTTGGACAAATATTTATCTATGTAATATACTGGGGCTCGTTGTTAAATATCAAAACTTGACAACCTCCACATTAACTCAAACCATATTTCGATGTAAAAACAGGCGCAAAATTGAAGCTCAAAAAGGAGACATATTATAAAAACTTTAGAAATTCCGTGAATTTCTAAGCCTAGCTCAATATGTACTCCCTCTGAAAATGGATTTATAACTACCTGTCCCTGCTGCGACGGTGGCTCACGCTGCGACTGCGTCTTCGCGGCGTTCTTCTGCTTCTACTGCTCCTTCGCCTTGAATAGCTGGGGCTACGATGTCTGCTGTAGCTGCGTCTGCCGCGAACACTCCTCCTCCGTGAAACACTTCGGCGATTCCTGGAGACGCTCCTTCGCCTTCTACTGAGGCTTCGTCGCTTGGAAGTGCTACGCCTGGAAATTTAATCTTGTTATAGAGAAGTATTTTGTATCTTCTTCAGAAGATGTTTGTACTATGAATAGAAAAGTATAGCGATTTAAATTATATTATATTGCAAAAGTATAGTGTCTATTGTTCTTCCAATAAAAGCATTACGTAAGTAGTGTTGCATTATTGATGCATCTTGTTAGTGTACATTATATTATTTATGATTCTACTCAAAAAGTTTTTTTATGAATGAATGAATGAAGAAAATTAATTTTCTGCATTTATAAGGAACTCTCGTTACGTTCGTTAATGTGTCAGTAAAACAAAAATTAAGAAACAGTAGTCATTCTTTTACTTTTTTTCAATTTCTTCCTAAGGTGTAAGTGCTTTTCCTACCTTCTTGAGACACTTCTTTTCCTTGAACCAGACCTTCGAGTTCTAGACCTGGAAGTGCTTTTCCTTTTGCTCCTATTCGTTTCCAGACTTCTCTTCCTTGATCTAGACCTCTTCTTTGTTTCTGCCTCACTATCTGAACTGTCTTTGTTGGATCGATAGTGACGTTTCTTCTGTACGCTATTTTCCTTCTTCCTCAGCTCAAAGTCGCCCCTTGAGCCTCTCGAACTCGATCGAGATCTTCTCCCCTTCTTATCGTCGGCTGAACGTGACCTTGACTTACGCTTGTAGGATTCCCTGCTTGAAGATCGGAACTTTGATTTGGATGGACTCCGCGATCTCGAATTTGACGGCGAACGCTGGTTCCGATTGCTGTCCGCAAGAGACATCAGTTTAGCTTGGAGTTTCGATATCGGTTGACTGGGAGGCCCTTCCCTATAACCGAAATCCGATTATCAAGTTGTAATCGAAGGTAAAGAAACAAGACAAGATTCTAATCTGCAAACTGAACATTAATGCCGTTGCCTTTAGTGCGAGAACCACAATCAGATCGCGAAATGTTTAATTTGATTTCAATTCACACAAATTAACATCTACAGAAAAAGCCGCTACCTACTTTTGTGTCAATTGTTTGAATAAGTTACCGGATGACATCAAATTAACAGGAAACAACATTTAAAAGAATGATAAAAAATATACTTATATAGAACCTTACAAAAAAAAAAGTTCATGAAACATAGGTTTTAAAAACTATTTTTTGCCATGCTTGTCTACCATAGTGTGGTTTTATTTTATTTACTGACCAGCTTTAATCTTTATCTTGATTTATGTACGCAAATGGCAGAACTGGAGAAGAAATAGTTTTTGTAAATGGTGTGGTAACACTAAGGTTTATTTAAATAAATACTTCATCCTAAGATGTAAGTGTAAATTCCCATACTTGTCATAAACCCATGGAAATCCAATGAAGAAAATAATGTTGTCCCAATGAGTTGTTGCTTGCTAAATAAAAATTAAAACTATCATTTGAACAAACTTCATTATACTTGTTTGATGTTAACTGTTCAAAAGGATGCATGTTTCTAGGTTTGTTTAGTATACTGTGTTTGTTATATTTATTTTGATACAGATTCCTTATTATGTGCTTTTATATTTATCTATTTATATAGTCTACACTAGTGGTGGGACTGGTCAATTGAGTCAACTAGTCAAATTTGATCAGAATGCAATTGTAGAGTGTCATCTATCATTATTATAGTACTATGTATTTTTTAATAAATTATTATGCGTTTGTGATATGCAATTTACTTATAACTCTCTTCGAGGATTTCGAGAATATGATGAACTCCATTCAGTTTCAAAACGACGCGACAACAATGTAATGCACAATAGAAAGAAATATAAATAAATAAATATAAATTTAATTGTATTTTTAAAATTATTTCCGTCAATTGAGACAAAAAAAAAATGATCACAACGCTAGTCTACACCCTGACTTTTGCTAGAGACAGAATATTTTGTAGCATCGCCTTTGTAAAAATAGCTAAGCCCTAAATAAACAATTGTTACTTATAGTTAAAATTATTAAGTATAACAGTAAAAAAAAAAAACATTTTAAAAAATGAAAAATCAAAAAAACAAATGTTAATATGGAAGATATAAAATCATCCGAAACTGTTTTTTTACTTCAGAAACCATTTCACAATATCTTTTTTTTAGTTTAGCAAGTGTTAACTCGTATCCAGCAGTTTACATATACATTTAGGTAGCAAGTAAATCTCAATTCTAACCAAATATTCTTGGTCTCTTCGGGAATTTGGAAAAATTGCCCCATATTTATATTTTGTTATTTAGTTTACACAAAGAAGAAAAGTTCATATAAATGTAAATCTGGAAAGGGTTTGTTTCCAAGAAACGGAGTGTTACATATTTAAAAAACAAAAAGTGCGAAAAATGTTAAGTTGGAAGCTGATGGTGGTCATTTCCATCATTTTCTTCAGTGTTAATTTTTTAGAACCAAGTTCATTGTTTATCAAAGGGTTTAAAAAATTAATGTTTAATAAAAGGTGTCAATTTTCATGATTTTTATTTTATTGCTCGAAAAGAGGGCAAGATACAAAAACAACTCACGAGTTAAAAAATTGAACCTTTAGTTGCTTATTCGAAGTAAATAACAAAAATTGCAAATTGGACTTCACCATTTTAATCTAGTTAAATGCAAAAAGCATTAATTTTTATCTGCGGATGGACGGACACATTAGAATACCATATTTGCGACAATTAAATAAACTTCTTAAGTTGTTTTAGTAGTAGTTTACAACTTCAATTTATTACCCAATAACCAGAATCAATAAAATTTCAGAAACGCAGTAAAACCTGATTAGCACATACTTCTCTTTGGCAGCGGTCTGATCAGTTGCCGCGTTCTTTCGTTCATTAGGACTCGCGTTTCCATTGTTTTTAGCATCGCTATTGGCTTTCACCGATGGTGATTTGCTCTTGCTACGCGAATTCTTTGGGCTACTACCGCCCGACTTCTGATTCCCCGTGTTGTTTTTGTCCCGCCCTTTGGAACTGCGGTCCCAGCTTGTGGACCGGCGGGCTGGACTCCTAGATTTATTCTCGCGAATACCTGGACTGCGCGACTGCCTGCCGTCTCCGACGTTCTTCGAGCTCGGGCTCCTCGACTGCCTGTTGCTCGGCGATCGTCTCTCTCGGCTGTCCTTTGTTTTCTCGCTACTCCTGTTCCGGCTGAACCTCTCGCTCGACTTGTCCTTGCCCTTGGACTGGGAACGCGAACGGGATCGAGACCGAGACCGTCGAGATTTCGACCTATTGCGTTCATATTTTCGATCCTTGTGCGACTTGTCCCGCTCTTTTTGCTTCTCCCGCTCGCGGCCGCGCTCCTTACTTTCCCGTTCCTTATCGTCTTTTTCCTGAAATAGAGTACAAAGCTTTAAAATTTAAACCGGTACGTTATTTTTAAGAATTAACACTCGAAAAACCAAAACCAAATGCTGCTCTAAATAGCAAAGACGGTTGGTTACTTTCAACATGCCTTATCATTAAAATTACAATAGAAGCTCTTTAAAATTGGAAAAATCTTATATGGTCTCATAAAGAATAAATAAGTCTGATAAAGCTGATTCAAAAACAAAACTTAGTGGGCTATTTTTTTTTACTTCAAAATTGTAAATTCTTACTTGTGAAAATATTGTAAAGAAAAAGAAATTTTAATATTTCTACAATTTTAAGAAATGAACCCAAGTTTTATTGTTAATTACTAAAAATATTACCTGATTTACCCCATTATGCCCAACAGCAGTATTTTTTAAAAACTGTTTTAAGGAACCCTAGTCACTAATCCTTAGGAACAGCCACACTGGTTTTCGCAACTCAACAAAAATAACAATTACCGTTACTATTAAAGCGCTAACTTTGAAAATCTCATATAATACATATTTTTTTATAGAACTCACCTTTTTTTTAGCAAGCTCCTCTCTTTTCAGGTGTATCAAAGAATCTGGTATTCCGGTAGGATTTTCCTGAGCTGATAGCAGTAAAGCCCATAATTCAGCCATGAATTCTCGAGCATTTTTGCCTTGAAGGAATCCAGTCAAATTTATCTGGATCTTTTTGGGATCAGGAAACTGCAGGAAAACATTATATGATGATGTTCATACAAAAATGTATTTTCATACAGTGTATCTTGCATTTGAATTATAAAAACGCAAGTTAAGTTTCCTCATTCACAACTTTTTTAACAGTGACAGGATTCTCACTGCCTTGTAATTTTAGTTTCCATTCAGTATGCCCCTTTTGACTTTGACCATTTGAGTTAAAACAGTTTCTATAGCAATTGCCAACAAACTGAACAGTATAGAAGTATAGCAAAACTAGAAAATGTATTAAGCGTAAAAGTGAATAACGGCTAAATACCAACCAAATGGTAAACTACTTGCTAGACTTTTATGATTTAACCCTCAATAATCAAAATCCGTTGCTTTCTCTTTTGCCGGCTTCAACAGAACCCACTTTAATTTTTTGTTATTACCAAGAATAAGACTCAAAATTAATTAAATAATAGCTGACAGACTTTTCCGCAAGAACAGCACAATTTATAAAAAAGATGTATACGTATGTATAGATTATGCGCACAGTGTGTGGAATCCATACTATGCTAAGGATATCGAACCATTAAAGATAGTCCAAACAAAGGTCACAAAAACACCAACTGAGCTGAAACATTGACCGTATGACGGACGCTTACAATGCCCTATTCCCACCAAGATTCAAACCGGGGCAAGGTATTGGTCATTATTCAGAGCACATTGATAATCACTATTTACACTTAACACTAATGCCAACCATTGAGGACACACCTTAAAACTAAAAAAAGAAAAGGACTCAACCCTAACATGTAAAAACTTCCTATGTAATCACTTGGTGTATAGATGCAACTCGCTTTATGAGGAACCAAATATAAATTCCTTCAAAAATCGGTTAGACAGTAGACAGTAAGTGAAGGATTCCTACATTTTCAATAAATCTAAATCCAAATACTTGTGAGCAATGTTAATTTCGCTTGCCATGTTTCAGGACTGTGGCTACTGCGGAGCCCGACGGACTCTAATCTCTTTAAAAAACTAAGACACCCTGCGCAGAACCTTATAGGTTACAGGCATACGCGCTGGTTTACAAACCGAGAAATTAAACAAAAAACTTAACAACTGTGTTTTATTAATTTGAGGCTTTAGTTATGATCGGTAGTTTTTTTTTGTTGCTGCATTCAATTCATAACTATTGTTGTACTTATTTAGCTTGTTTGTCTTCTTTCTTTTAATTACTTATGATATAAGTTCCACACATTTCTAGATGGTACAGCATACCTTGATTTTTGCATTTACATAACTTTTTTAATGCATTCCTCCATACCCACTAACTCAACAGGAACTTTGAATAGAGTAGGTAGTGTTGTTTGGAAGAGGAAGGCGCTAAGAAATAGGAGGCGAAGCAGTGGACAAACTGGGTGTCCTTACTTATTGGTTATTGGTGATCTAGTTGCAATTTTAGATTAATTTGAAGCAAATATGTTGCAAATATCTTCGTCCGCAGATATTAAATGATATCATGAAAAACAATGACATAGTATCTCAAAGAGACCCATCAATACAGCCAACATATAAATCACACTCTAGATGCATTGCTATATTTCAAATTTATTATTTATTCATAATATGAGTATGTATCATTAAAACACAAAGAGTTTTCATTTTGCAACTTCCCACTTCTTATGTCTCAAAATCAGAAAATTGAAATTTTTTTTTTGCAAAAGAAAAAAAGTAGTCAATTTTCACACAGTGGACCGTAAGGATCCATCAACGGCGATATATTACGGAACCATCTTTAATCGAGACATATTTCAAAATTAACGAATTTCATCTTCAGTCATTAATATTGATGTGCAGGCAGGACAATCACTGCAGTAAAACTAACGGTTTTAGAAGTTGGAAGCAAATTAGATAAAACTTCGAAGGTTGTGAGAACCACCAACAGCAACACTTGTGCATAAATTTGGGAGAGAAAAGCAATTTGTGTCGTCAAACTTTTAAAAAATAAGCTGTTCTGAGGCAACATTTTTTTTACAGTTTAAAACCACGAGGATCTTCAGACATTTAACGAGAAGGACAAGGACAGACTTTTCAAATTGAAGATACATAGAGTTAACATTGTGGAATTGGTAAGTTTAAATTTAATTGAACCATTTTGTATTTTACTGCTTGCACGCCAATTTTAGTGACTGAAGATGAACTTCTTTAATTTAGAAACATGTCTCGATTAAAAACGATTCTGTAATATATCCATTCATAAGTTAGTGAAGAAGATTGATAGTTTTCGTCTGGTTTTTTTCTTTGAGTAATTTTGTTTTATAAAAAACAAATGTTTTACTATTTAAATGTTTTTGTTTATGCATATCAGTTTTTTCATAAATAAAGTGTGCAAGGGCCCTGGCCACATATAGCAATTAGTTAGCTGAAACTAGTGAACCTTGTTTTTAAGTAATTTTATTACATTTAGCTTGGTCTTACAATTGTGACTCAAAAATATCTAGTACTACCATATCCACCATCCTAGTGAGGAAACTAAGTACATAAACAAATTACATGTACATAAAGTTAAACATTTTCTCAAGGAAGCCACAACCACTGTATATATCTTATTGCTTCAATATATTACCTTTTCATCAAGCTGATTGTAAACAAAATCCACAACAACATCGTCGTCAATTTTAAGAATTTCAGTGAGTTTGTCTTGAATCCAAGGCTTGATGACGTCCAATTTAATTTTGGACATATCCACCTATAAAGTTTAAAAAAAAATTCAAAATTACGATTTTTACTACAATAATAAATTGTGTGAATTTACCCTTTGACTCAAGCAGTCACTGAACCTCATTTGTCTTAGAAGTTTCTTCTCTTTGTCGCTAAAGCGGTTGTCTTGCTCTGTTGTAGTGCCCTATTTCATAAATACCAATGAATGTTATGAAACATTACTTTTTAACATATGGAACATGTAGTCTATCTACTATTAAATATACATATAGACACAAAAAGGAAAAGTAAACTTTAATTTACTAATAAACAGTAATAAGAAGTGAATGGATTGTAATGATATATTTTTTTAACTCTACAAGTTAATATCAACCTAGGAATTGTTTAATATATAGGTGACACTTGTTTCTTGCTTTAATAATTTCTAGGATATTGTTATATTGAAAATTCAAATATTGGGTCCCATTCCCCAAAATAAGCACGCGAATATTATCAATAACATCACTACCACTTGTTCCCCAATTAATGGGTCCCAACTGTGAGTAGGTTTTCATTTCTTCTTTTTTTGAATATCATATATAACAAGGTATAATGAAGATTTACAGATTACAGAGAAAATTGACAAAAATTCTGAATTTCGAATATGCCTAAGTTACAATCACAAGTGACATACTCACCGTGTACATAATCATACAGCACTATCTTATTTAATAGGTAGTTTTTCCAGTCAGTCCAATCGAGAAAGAGCAGAACGTGTAGCATGTAGCGTCACTTAACTTCGGACAAAAGCATTACAAACATCCCAAATATCTAAGTTTTGTTTCCACCGTACAATCTCAATAACCAAAGAGCTATATGAAGTAATACACGTAATTCCTTCCAAAATTAAAGTGAAATTTACCGAATTGATTTGATGGCCGGTGATGGCGACAACGAACGGCGTTTTCACTCTTTAATCTATGGCAATGGCAATCATAGAATAATATTAAAAATGGTTTTGTAACGTTTCACAGTAGGAAGAGCTTGGTGAATTTTGGTTACGCGCTTCCTCTCTGACAAATGAACCCATTTTTTAAAAAATTGTAGAAGTGGGCAAGAAAGCTTGCAAGACGAGGAAATAAAGAATTGATTATTGTATTCGCTCAAAATTTGCAAAACCCAAATCCAAAAACAAGGTATATATTGTATAAATAAAAATAAATGTATTATTAAATTTGTTACTGATCACGTAAACTGCATCTTAAGTGTGCTTGTTAAACTTCGACTTTTTGATAATTGAAAATAGATTTCCTTGATTTTTGTTGGTAGCCTTAAATTCGGGATGTAGGCGGAATTGTTCTTCTTCGTTTCAGGATCATTGGACCAGTTACTTTAATTCGTTGTTTATATGCCACGGAAGAATAATACTGTTTCTATGGGTACATCTTGCTTTTTGTATGAAAACGCGAAAATGGTTGTCTTGTGTTCATTAAAAAATATCCAAGGAACGCGAATCAATCTATTTTACGACGAACGCTGAGATGTTGTGTAAAGGCGTAAACTTCCGAGATCGAATCGACAGGTATTTTTCACCAAATCCAACTTTGATTAGGAATGAAAATGAAAAAGTACAGTAAAAACACAAGGGTGCACTATCAAATATTGGTAAACCAAATAAATATTAATTCAATTCAATAAATTCAATTCAATTAGTATCCCTCAAAATAGTTGTAAACTAATTTCTTCAATATGTGCCTTAAGTAAATATTTCCAAACCTACAAAAGATTTTTTTTTTTCGCAAGCTAAAAATGTTTGCTTTTGCTATTATATTGCTGTCTAAAAAATTAATTAAAAAAGAATTATATTATTAAAATAATATCATATTTTATGAGCACTTGTCCAAAAGTATTATTTGTTGCTATAGCGAAGTATTTATAGCAGTTTTTGACTAAATTGTTGCCGTTCGAATTCTTCTGTTGATGTTAAAACGGGATTTTTATTATGTATTTTGAATATGGCCAAATTCTTCACCTGTATAATGCGTCATAGCTTTAAGGGGTTTCAACTCAAATTCTTTTTTTCGTACATTTCATACGTTAAGTCCTTCCTTTTTTGGCAGAGGCATCCAAGCTTAGGACCCCGCCCCCACGACAATTAAATTTTTATCCGCGGCAGTGACTTGAGGAAAGACCAGGGCGGTGGTTAGACTTTTAAAATAAAGTTTAATATATTAATGCAACTGCTATTTTGCTTTTTCCCCAGACATTTTAATTTTACGTGGGTTTTAAAATTGGGACCCCAAATCCGGAATCAGCATGATTAAGATTTAAATTACGTAGTGAACAAATTTATTAAAATATTTCTTAGTCAAATCATTGTCAGTTCTGCTGTTCTGCAGTTTCACATTTAATACTGCTCTTGAGTTGTGACCAGTAGCACAAGGCATTTTGTTTAAATACATTTTCAAAGGAAATTGAAAATACCAAAGCCCCAAGGCCTCCATTTCAAAAACATCTTCGCTCCAAACAATCAAGACGCGAAAAAGTCGTTGGCTTAGAATGTTCAGTTTGTCCAATAGTTTTGTGAAAAAAATAAATCTTAGCTCTTAGCTCTAAATTTGTTGCTTGCTTCTTCGTTATATAGCAATGATGCAATGAAAGATCAACAGTTTAATATAACCACCTTTCCAACAGAAAATAATGGATTCGTTTTCTAAATTTAAAAATCGAGTTCCTGCCGTATTTAGTTGTGAAACACACCACAAGACAGTTTTTTCTTTGAAATTTATTTACATATAAAAAAAAGAAAATTACAGAAGCATATACAATGCAACAAAAATTAAGTGTGTAGATATAGCGGTGATATAACACTGGTGAGGTGGATTGCTTGGACTGAACCTTAAATTCCTTATTATATTTAGTATCTTCATGATAATTTAGTATAGTATAGTATATTATAGTATAGTATTTGTTTTGCGTTTATATTTATGTTTAAAATAATATAATCTACTTTGATTCTGTGCTTTATTAACCTATGAGCGAGATAAAATATTTAAAAATGGAGGTTTAGTTTTGCGTTATCAGTCTTGTGAGCCTAATCTTCATTAGTTTTGTTAACAATAGAAAGCATTTAAACGTTTCTGAGCAATTGCTTCAGAGAGTTGCTGTTTAAATTTCACAAAAAGTGCTGAATAACCAAGAATTTCGGGTTAAATCGAACAGCTTTTGCACAATTTGCAGCAGATATTAAATAATATAGCAAGTAGAATGTTTTTTATAATTCAATTTCAAAAGGGAAATAAATATTCAAAACTCAATGATAAAATGCTATAAAATTTGCCTTTTCTTCTACATCAAAAATCTAGAAGACAGGCGACAAAAAAGCGCCATACCGACAGGAAAAGCTAAAAACATTTTTTGGTATGCACAAATAATGAAAACCAGACACGAAATTGGGAGAGTACTTGATAATTTTTATAATGATAATTTCTTGAGGTACAATCCGATAAGATCCAAGAAAACATCCCACTTCTGCCAGGACCTACTAACAACTAACCTGAAGAGAGTATGACCGACGACAAACAGCAGTGCAATTCGACTAGCTGAATGCAAATTGGTATAAAATGCTAGGCTCTTTTTTTCATTTGGATACTTATCAGAACGAACCTACCCAAAAAAACGTTCTTAATCATTCTCTGCATCTAAACAATTGCTGTAAAAAATTGCGCTTATAAAAGAAATTAAGTTCTACTTAAACTAATTATTTATATTTGTTAATTCATGTGTTTCATTTCTTTATGTACGAGATTTAAAATCTCGTTTTTAACCAATGACCTTGCGGCATTCAACAAAGAACATGTCCGCCAACATATCATCAATGTGGCATTTTTATGTCAGTATTTTCTCAAAATGAGTCCAGATCCTATTAAATCTTCAGGCGAACATACAGTGTAGATAACGCTGTTTAGAAAGAGAAAGGCGCAAATTTAGTGGGTGAAATTTAGAGGCATGTGCCAATTTTTACTGTAGTAGGGCCACGATTAAATATTCGGAACAGACGAAAGGAAAAAAACAACGGCATAAGGACGAGACACGCAAATATCTTTTTCGCGCGACTAAAAGCTGCCACTCTATGTATACAGTATATGTGTACAGTAAAATCTACAAACTACATCCGAATTCTTTGGTTATGATATTCCCCTTACTCTGCATTATTATTTTTTGCTCTCAACATGAAATCCTCGCTTTGACAAATCAGACTAGATTTTTACATTACTGCGTTGATGAATGTTTTGGTTAACAGCGCATAAGTCACAACAGCATTTTGTTTTCCCGGTCTACTGACGATTTTTCTTGTGGATGAATCCCTACAGAATCCCTTCCAAATTTGTTAAGGAGGTCTGCAACTTTTCTGATTTTGGACTTAAATTAAAAAAAAAAAGGATTATTTTCTAATACAGTGACAATATTTAAAAAGAGGACTTTTGGGCCTATGTTAGGAACGCTTCATATGAACATATATCTTAAACGTCTAAAAGTTTAGGCCTAGATAAGTCCTAAGTACAGGTAGTCGGTGGCACGGTGTGATTTATCCTACAATCAAAAAATATTGGTGAAATCTTTATTTATGCATGAGAGAAATAAAATACAAAATATTCTTCCAATATTCCTTCATCTCTCTCCAACTTTTTCTTCTTGCAAAAGTGATTTTTTACAATTATCTTTCAGTGTGTGGTTTCAGTTTTCAGTGCTGGGTATCGTTTCTATATTAAAGCTTGGCTAACTTTCCTACAAAAAAAATATCGCTATTATTTCCACTTTGCCGTAAATTTTATCGAATTCTTTCTCATATTCGAATATTTTTCTTCGACGTCTGAATTGCTGTTACTGGCCTTTATGTCATAATTAAGTTGCGAAATGCAACAAATGCGTTTAAATAATTTGACTATTGACTATAAATAAACCAAACATATCGACGATTTATATCGTTCCAAGAAAATAGACTTAAGAGTTTTGAGTTCTAGGCCAACTGAAATATAATGAACTTGTTTCTTGGTTACTTACCTAGGGAGAACCTGTTAATTCCTCCTCCTTTCTGTTTGGGTTTTCTCGAAATGCTTTACAATAGTACAACCCCCTCTCACTATCCATTCTAATAGTAAGAATAATGTTATAGTTACAGTTTATTATGGCGTTAAATATTATAATAAATTTCCTATAAGTACTCATTTCCGGTACTTTTGTAACATTATAGTGACATAGGTATACGCTGCTTTCAAGACCTAAAAAATAATATCCACTAGAATAGACAAATTGTAAATATTAGTATCGTTCCCTGTTTCAGGAAGTTTAAAAGTATTGGGCAAAGAACATAATATGTCGGGCAAAGAATGTTCTAGCAAAAAATCAACCACAACTCCCACATTCACTTAGGAAGGAGTTAAATTTTGTTTTTATGGAGTATTTTTACGATATTGCGATAGATTTTATATGCTGAGATTTTCATTAGCTTTGGGGGCGGGGCTTATGAGCTTCGCAATCACTTAAAATCAATACTTCTTTTATAACTCGGATACTCAGTACATTGACTTTTTGCATGGACACTAATCTTGAAATGTTGGTATACGTTACGGCAACAGATGATTCTAGAGACATTTCTCCAAATGGTCCCTTGGTGACAATCAGCGGCCTTTGAGCTCTTACCATTATGATAAACAATATACTTTTAGCTTCCTTACTATGTTGATACCAAGGACTTTCATATACTGCGGACGCAATTTCCATACTCTTTAATAAAATTATGATTTTAACTTCTATATATCCTGATGCTGTAAAGCAAAAGGCAAAAAAATTACCTGGAATTTAATTTCGCTGCAACTCCAACCTAGTATCAGTACGTACGCTACAATAGAACCGCTGTATAATAAGATACCAAGTTGTAGTAGGAAAGATTTCTCCTAAAATAGTCCAAACAGTCAAATAGTAACTGTTTTCTACTAAACCAGAATTACACCCAAATTACAGAACGTTCTGAACACGCGTTTCGCTATGCATATTAACGTCATATAAACTCCCATCATCGACTGGCCAAACGCCCTCCCAGAACGTTATATTAGTTGGGGGATAGATATAGTTGACTCTGTACTGAATCCATTAAACTATCTCAAAGAAGCATTTCTCACCTTTAGAACCGTGAATGCTGTTAGAGCAACGTTAAACGAGACTGTAATGTATTCCATCAACAACAAATATTTGACTGAGTCGTTCATGTCTGTGACAAATCTAAATGAAACAATGATGCGAGAGTTAGTCCACAAAAATAATACACAAAAAGTGTGACAGTGAACGGCGACAGCCCTTTCTTGACTCAGACTCAAGGAACACAGATATGAAGCAACGCTCGTATCTTTATTATTTTCATATAATAAATAAGAGAAAGCATAGTTAATTTAACTAACCCACCCAAACATATGATGGTTAAGTGTGATGGTATTTTGAAGAAAGCGAGGTTTGATCGAGAATAGCCAAAATAGATAAGAGTAATTAAAATTCATAGTGACCAAGCTACGCACTTTATTTTCAGTGGTGGTTTAAGGAACAACTTCGGGTGACTTTTCTTTAATTCTCTGAATTTTACACATTGTTACTTCAAAAAAATTAACCACGCACCAAAACCAAAACAACTCTGCTTCTGATATCTCATCTATATATATATATATATATATATATATATATATATATATATATATATATATATATATATATATATATATATATATATATATATATATATATATATATATATATATATATTTATGTTTAGCTTTTGGTTCTTGGGTTATAGGTCCTTATATTAAAAGCGATTAAAATTTTTTGTCCATATATTGACGTTTCGGTCTTCTATGACCTTCTTCAGAAAGGGATACAGTCTAAAATTATGTTATAGTACAGGTCTTTTTTTTATATACATGCATAAACGGAATTACAAAGAACCTTACCTAAAAGAGACAAACACAAATCTTAAAATTGAAGAGGTAGCATCATATGGAAGTTCTATACTTTAAAAGCGTTTGGTTTTGTCATAGTGAGTTATAAACGCTTTGATACTGTAAACTGCTGAGTAAAGGTTCCCATACATTCTATTCGCTTGAATAAAGTTTTTTAAAAAATCAAATTCGTTTTCCACGACGAAAACTGGCGCAGTCGGTAGGATTTCCGTGAAACAAGCATTCCAAAATCGACACTGTTTGGTCTCTCTCAAGAGTTTATTCGCGAAATCCGAACAACACAAAAAACTGTTCAAGTGGGTGCAAAGTGCTCAATTGGTGCGAAATAAGGACAAAAATCGTCCGAATTTCATACGTAGCCCAGGGAAGAGACAAGCATCGCTCATCCTATTGGAAAACTAGATTAAGAAACGAAACAACCATTAATGAAAATCGTCGTTCTCTCACTGTTAATGTAAGTTTTTCTTTTGTAAATATTTTTCTGATTCAAACTGGAAAGATTAATTTCTCGTTTTGAAACATTAGAGTTAAAACCTAGAGTAGCTTCTGTCGATAATTTTAATACATCATCTGATTCCGATTCCGATTCTGACATTAATTTAAACACAAGCGGATAACATCCCTCATTTCGACGGCAATCCTAAACAAATAAATCGTTTTATTAGAATCTGCGAAAATTTTCTAACTAATCATCAAAATGTAAATAACCCAAATGCTTCAATAAATGTTTGTTTAATCGATACAATAATCAGTAAATTAATTGGTAGAGCAGCTGATTTAATAGCTTCTCGTTCTGAACTCGATAGTTGGTTAAAAATTAAAACAGCCCTTCTGGCAACGTTCTCCGATCAAAGATCAGTTGATTGTCTTTTACAGGATATAATTTCAATGAAACCCAATAGTAGCGAAAGTGCGCATAATTTTGGTTTACGCTTGCAAGATGCCCGTAGTATTTTATTTTCAAAAATTAACTCTACATGCGAAGATATCAATATAAAAACTCTAAAAATTATCCAATTTGAAGATCTAATTTTAAAAACATTTATAAACGGTCTTAATTACCATATGCAGTTAGTTGTACGTTTAAGAAATCCAAAATCTCTCGAAGAAGCCATGTCGTTCTCGTTAGAAGAAGAAAATTTTATCGCTTATAAAAATCGTGTTGATATTTCAACCAAAACTACACCTGTTGCAATGCAAAATAAACCAAAACCTCTATTAGGTCAATACCCAATTAATTACCCATTAGCTTCACAAAATTTTACTAGCCCATTTCAACCGCCAACAATTCGACCAAGTTTTAATAATTTTAACCCCCCGAGATTTCAAAATAATTTCCAAACAAGACCTTATTTTCAGAATATTCCAAGACCAAATTTCCAAAATAATCAAAGACAAAACTTCCCGAATATTCAAAGAATTAACCCGATGATCCAAAGACATCAATTTAATCCAAGACCTTACCCATTTATGCAAAGACCTATGTATTCAATTACAAGACCGATGTTTAATCAATATAACCAAAATCCAACCCCAAAATTTGACAAACCGGAACCTATGGATACTTCATCAGGCAATACCCGTATAAATCAAATTCAACCAAATAAAAATTACTATCTAGCAAAAGAGATTGACAATCAATCTACAACCCCCCAAGCTAATTCAAACAACGAAATATCAAATTTTGAAAGTGAAAATCCTTATGATTTTTATTATTTTTATTATCACCAATATCCCATCCTTGAAGAACAATACACCTACGACACAAATTAGACGAAAATAACCACTGTTATAATGAACAGGACGGAAATTTTCAGGAAACTCCGAATTCAAGCAACCAAACTTAACGCAAAATTTTCCCCAAAACTACACTTCAATATATGTTAATAATTATAATCATTCTGATTTACCAATAGTTTATTTTCCTGAACTTGATGCTCAATTTCTATTAGATACAGGTAGCGCGAAAAGTTTTATAAATCCACAGTTAGCTTACAAATATTACCCAGACTTTATAAATATTGAAAATTTTTCAGTAATGTCAGCTCATGCAACATCTGTTCATAATGAAGTAATGACAATACCATTATTTCCTTCTTTTAATTGTCCTGATCAACAACATAAATTCTATCTTTTTAACTTTTCCCCAAAATTTGATGGACTTATAGGAGTAGATCTTTTGAAACAAATAAAATCAAAAATAAATATTAGCGAGTCTACACTGGAAACACCGAATGTAATAATTCCACTGTATTACCAACATAATATTAAAAACACCCCAGCGGATCCAAAAATAAATAAAAATTTTGACAAATCCAAATTTAAATTCGATGAACTTATTATTCAACCAAGAACAACACATAAAGTTAAAATACTCGTGACAGAACAAAATGGTATAGGAATCTTAAAATATAAAAAATTTGTAAATGCTGAAATGCCCGAAGCTTTAGTAAAAATTGTCGATTCATTCGCGTTAACAACCATTACTAACACATCTGAAAATCCTGTTAGTATACAATTTATTAAACCTCTAGAAATAGAATTAATAAATCAATGTGAAACTAATTTTATAAAAAAAATAGAAGATAACAATGAAAATTTAATCGAACATTCAATAAGTAATTTCGACAATCTGCAAAAAGAAAATCTAAAAAATTTAAGACTGAATCACTGTAATAAAGAAGAATATAAAGTAATTAGGAAGTTATGTTACGAATATCGAGACATATTTTATTGCGATAAAGTGCCATTATCTTTCACGAATCAAATTAAACACAAAATTAATCTAACTGACGAAACCCCCGTTTACACAAAAAATTACCGTTATCCTGAAATACATAAAGTCGAAGTAAATAGACAAATAGACGAAATGCTAAAAAATAATATAATCCAACCCTCACATTCCCCATGGAGTAGTCCTATATGGATCGTACCAAAAAAATTAGATGCATCAAATAAACGTAAATGGCGCGTTGTCATAGATTACCGGAAACTTAATGAAAAAACAATTGATGATAAATTTCCCTTGCCTAATATTTCAGATATTCTTGATAAACTCGGTAAAGCTCAGTATTTTTCAACTCTGGATCTAGCTAACGATTTTCATCAGATAGAAATGCATCCCGATGACATCCCAAAGACAGCTTTTTCTACTGGTACTGGACTTTTCGAATTTAAACGCATGCCTTTCGGATTGAAAAACTCACCCTCGACGTTCCAACGTGTTATGAATAATGTGCTAAGAAATCTGTTTAGTATATTCAGATGATATTATAATTTTTTCCACATCCCTACAGGAACACATTGATCGATTAGGAAAAATTTTTGAGAGACTAAGGGAGGCAAACTTTAAAATTCAATTAGATAAATCAGAATTTCTACATAAAGAAGTAGCATATTTAGGTCATAAAATCACTAAAGAAGGCGTTAGTCCAAATCCTGACAAGATAAAAGTAGTAAAAGATTTTCCTCTCCCCCAAACACAAAAAGAAATTAAGTCATTTCTAGGATTGGCAGGATACTACAGAAGATTCATTAAAGATTTTGCTAAAATCACAAAACCTGACAATGACCTTATGTCTAAAGAAAAAATCTAAAGTAGAACACAGCCCCGAATTTATTACAGCTTTCAACCATTTAAAACAATTACTAATAAATGCCCCAATATTAAAATATCCAGATTTTTCAAAACAATTCGTTTTAACTACAGACGCATCAAATTACGCGATAGGTGCCGTATTATCACAAGGCACACCACCAAACGATAACCCAGTCGCATACGCGTCTCGCACACTTAATGACACCGAGCAAAAATACTCTACAACGGAAAAAGAATTACTTGCCATAGTATGGGCCTGTAAATATTTTAGACCGTATCTTTTCAGTAGAAAATTCCAAATTTTTACGGACCACAGACCATTAGTCTGGTTATTTAACCTAAAAGAACCAAATTCAAAACTTATGAGATGGAGACTTAAACTAGAAGAATTTGATTACGAAATTCTTTATAAAAATGGTAAACAAAACACAAATGCGGATGCCTTGTCACGAATAAAATTAAATGCTTTAGAAACCGACTCTATTTATAATAATCCTGGAGATATTGATCTTGATATTAACAAATTTCTAGACAACGATTTCGATCCGAATAAATTAGACTCAAATGAAATTTCGATAACACTCGAAGAAATAGAAAATAAACGTCCTAGGAGCCCAAAAATAATCATTCTCGAAAACAAACTTTTAAGACCGGCTTTTGAAAATACAATACATAGTACAAATACTGACGAATCTTTACAAGGAATACCTATATTAAATGAAATTATTAACAACAAACCAAATCAGATAATACTTCAGAAATCTCCGTATTCTACTTATGTTAAATGTAACTTTAAAAACTTCGACGGTCATAATATATTACATGCAACAATTCCAGAAGAAGAAATTACTTTAACAAAATTCTTTAAAGAACATTTAAATAACAAAAAGACGTATATTCACTTTTTATCTCAACTAAGACCAATTGTACAAAAAGTAATCGCCCAACATTTTCAAAATTATAAACTAATCGAATGCACAAAATTAATAAATAATGTTGAACCGGAAGAACGAAATATATTAATTAAATATAAACATGAAGGTAAAACTAATCACAGAGGCATAGAAGAAACTTGTAAATTTTTAAAAAATAATTATTACTGGAAATCCTTAAAGTCAGATGTTACAAAATATATTAACGAATGTGAAATTTGCCAGCGAGCAAAATATCAACGAAAACCACGAGATCAACCTTTAATGTTAACTGAAACACCTTCTAAACCATTTGAAATTATACACGTCGATACCTTTATTGCCGGCGGACAAAAATTCTTAACTATAATTGACAAATTCTCTAAGTTTGGACAGGCATTGCCCTATTTTGGAACTGCGATTTCAGCATGCCAACAATTAGTACATTTCTTTTCATTCTATGGAATACCAAAACAAATTGTTTCTGACAACGGAACAGAATTTAAAAATGACGTTCTAGACTCTTTATTAAAAATACATAAAATTAAAATCCATTTCACAACGCCGTCACCACGAATCCAATTCACCTATCGAACGTTTCCACTCAACCCTCATCGAACACTTACGCCTATTGAAGGAAATAGATAAAAATTCCGATATTATTTCACTTATGCCCTATGCGATCATTGCATATAACAGTACTATACGCTCAAATACTAATTTTACGCCTTTTGAATTAACACTAGGACACACTGATACACGTGACCCTATGAACCTAATTCCTTCTCAAATATATTGTGAATACGTAAATAACCATCAAACAAATACTAAGCTTCTTTACGAAAAGGTACATAATGATTCCCTTTTAAAAAAACAAAAAACGATCGATAAAATTAACAAAAACAAAACTCCAGTAGAACTAAAAATTGGCGCAACAGTGTATAAGCGCACCGAAAGTCGAAAAGGTAAATTAAACAAAAAATTTTCTGGACCATTCATATTAACAAAAATCCTAGATAATAATAAAATTGAAATAGAAAACCTAAAAACAAATAAAAAAGAAATAACTCACGTTAACGAGACTAAAATAATCAACATTGTTCCAGATGGCTCGCAAACATCGGAGCAAACGAAGTAAAAATCCACAACCTGAACAACTATCCAGGAATCCTTCCTTATAAACTAGGTACCGCAAAAATAACCTCTAACCATTTCTCCTTTATACCAATTTTTGATTTAAACCCAGCTGTTGCTGAATTCTATGTAATCTATAACCAAGTAAAAATATTAATTAGTCAGATTAAAAATAATACTAATTACTTTCCCGAATATTCTAATTCAGTCATCCCTCTTGTAACATTAGAAAAACGTATTGAAAATCAAATTAGTCAACTCAATCCATTATCTATAAGAAATAAAAGAGGCCTATTAAACCCAATCGGTTCTATTATTAAATGTATTACTGGAAACTTAGACCAATCTGGCGCGGAAAAATTCGATGTAGAAATCAAACAATTGCAAGAAAACCAAAATAATTTAAGAACCAATTCAATTAATCAAATAAAACTGTTAGAAAAAACAATCAACTCATTTAAAAATTCGATATCAAATATTTCGAATTCCGAAAACACTTCGAGCGCGGAGCGCGAGCATTGAAGATGCCAAGTGAGATTTTGGCGAAACGTCTGCAGGATTCCAGTCGGAGTTCAACGAGCGAAAGGATGATATCCCGGAATATAGTGTCATCACATTTTTCCATCCGTGAATCAATACATTATATATATATATATATATATATATATATATATATATATATATATATATATATATATATATATATATATATATATATATATATATATATATATATATATATATATATATATATATATATATATATATATATATATTAAATTATTCCACTTCCAATTGGTAATATGTATTACCATATGAACTAATAAATAACTAAATACATTGAATCTTTTGACCTACAAAAATAATACCGCTTATCATTTCAATCAAATCAAAATTATCAAGAGTATTTTTTTAAATACCCAACACTGATTTAATCATGATTTTAAGTAGAAGTACTAACCTTACAAATTGCTGATGTTGTACTGCGGCAACTTTTAGAGCACTTAAGTCGGCTTTCAGATGCGACATATTTCTTAATGCGTTCTGCAATGCTTTTGCCGTTGAAGGCACAAATACTATGAAACCAAGAAGCATGCAAGTCGAAAAACTTAGCCATATCATTATAGTGACGCCAAGATTAGAAAAGAGCATTATGAATGTTTCGTGCCTAATCGGGTCCATTTTGGGATAATACACTTCATATATCAAAGGTTTTTCCATGGTTTTATTGTATAGTTTATTCCAGCGACCTATTTTTATTCTAGTGGCAATATTTCCGTACATCGCAAACCCATATATAAATATGTGAGTGGCTAGGGCAAACAGGTTATATTTCGTGCAAAATCGTGCCTGTGCTGCATAAGTTTCCAGCTGCTCTTGCTCTTGAGATTGCTGAATTTCCTTTTCTTTATTTTCCACCGTGGTAATCATTTGCTGTAGACTTTTCGTCTCGTAGAAAATAACTTTAATTAATGCCACGTAAATAGACGCCAAATAAGCCAGATTTGAAATTAATTTTTCAGTAAGTTCCTCGGATCTATCTTTTTCAGCTAGTACCATTGCCACCCAAAAGGTCATTGAAGTCATAAAAATGAAGACGAAGACGTGAACAATCAATGAATAAATAAGATATATTCTCCTCAGAGCAATGCTTTCAGTAAAATTATTGCGATAAATGCCGAGCACAATCATCGCAAGTTTTGGTATTTTCAAAATTTCCTGATTTTTCAAGGACATGATTTTAAACCCTGGTTATCTACAATATAAATTGACAAATTTGTTGAAATTGTAAATAAAATTTCAAGCCCTGTAGGATGTATGAACAGACACTTTGTTAAAAATTTTGTTGGGTGGGTCTTAAACATAATAACAATATAACAAAATATCTAGAAAATTTCTTTATACGCAAACTCTGTAATACCTAGAATGTTTGAGAAAACATAGGAATTTTTTTCTTGTGGATCTTACCAGTTTACAAGTATTATTGGTTTGTCTTTACTTTTTAAGTTTTGTAAATGTTCAAAAAAAGGATTTCCATTTCACTTTTTACTCAGGGAAGTACATTTAAGTCCCTAAGAAACCTTAATGTAATTGGCTGCAACCTCTTACTAGTTTGAACCACTAAAATAAGTTTATTCAATGATACGCAACTGATTTTATGTTATGTACCTTGTCGATTCTCAGTTGGTTAGAAACAGAAACCCTTTTATAGGTACACCTAATAGTTCATTGTTTGTAAGCAGTGCCGGCTTCTAAGAATAGTATGTATTTCTACAAAGAAGAAAAGCATATTTATTATTCCATTTTATTTCTACCGTACACAAAAAAAAATAAATAACGTTTAATTAGTCTGATACGTTTTTCTCTTATTATGGAAAGAGTAGAATTGTTGTCAACTAAGTCGATTTTGATATTACTGTTATTTGTTATATGTGCCAGAACATATCAAATGGCTGGAATCGAATGAAAAATGGAATTACGAAGCTGCGTAAGTGTTTTAAAACCATAGAAGTCACTAGGTATGTATGGACATTAGAAGCTCTTCAATAAGTCTGCTCCAGGCTACTGGAAAATTACAAACATACATTTTATATTTTATTTTCATTAATTTTTATGGTGATATGTCTTGTTTGGATTACACCAGAAAGTTCTTTCGTTTGTCGATATTGTCCATTTGTGCCTATTCTCGCATCCATAATAAATATTTGCATTTTTCATAATGTTTGCGGTTTAACAAAGAAAAAAGAAGTTTTGCGCGTAAGGCCCCTTTTCCCGATACATCTGAATTATTGAGCAGCATAAAAACCTTTGTTGTAAATACCTTAAGGATTCAGAATTTGCAACTTGACGATCACGCAAGTGAAAGCCAATGGAGCGAGTAGATGATCTACGTATCAATGCGGAACTGTAAAATTTGGTATTCTAGTACGTTAGTTGGTTATTGTCTTATTCGAAGCTGATAGTGTTTTAATTACGGGATCCATTGACCGTTAATTTAAATGCATGGAAAGGGATCGCGACAAAAGTATTGACAATTTTTATATAAACCACCAAAAAATGAGAAGAGAATGTGCATACGTGTTGGTTGTAAGAGTTCTGTGACTTATGTGGAAATATTAAAAGTGTAAATATTTAGTTTAATGTGTATTATGCCACACCTTTTATACACAATACTTTAGTTACAAGTTGTTTTATTAAACGAACTTTTTCTATGTCCGTCACATTTTTGACACACATATTGACTACGTGACGTGATGTCAAAAATACAGTATTTAAATTTAATGAAGTGCTTTAAATATCAATTGAAAAAATTCGGACGCTCAAAAACTGTGACTAAAGTACCGGAAACATGCGAATTTACACTTGACTGTGTTTGATGAAGCCGACGTTTTAGCAAGGATGCATGAGGAAACTGATCATTGAAAGTAGTTTGTTCTTGCATTCAAGGAAGCATATTTGAAAACTACACTTCGATCTAGCACTAAGGCTTCCCGGGCAATATTTATATTTTTTAATTGATCTTGACGGGAACGGAGACATTCCTAGTGAAAGAATGAAAAAAATAATGGTCTGTATATATTACTTTGTCACTACATAAATACGGGTCTCGAAATCCTATTTTATTTTAAAGTATGTTTTCAAACTAGAATTTTGTATGTTTTGAACTGAGAGACAAAAATATGCCTTGGTTCAATTGAAAGAGTGCCTGCAATTAATTTAATTAGCTCACTGAATAAAAGAAGTAACTCACAGGTACTCAATCCTCTTTTTTCAGGATTGAGAATTCGCAATTTAGAAAATCATGCAAGTTAAAAGGTAAGTGGAAAAGTAATGGGCGTGTACATACACTGTGATGTTTTGTATGATATCGTTGCTCGCTCATTGCCGTAGTCTGAGTGGCTAAAAGTGTTTTAATTCAGGATCCATTAGTTTTTGTCCAATCCGTAAAATAGGCTTTTTGTGCCCATTTATTAGTTGACTTGACCTCTAAATTTAAATTAATGGAAAATTTTTAAAAGGTCCCGCGATAAAAGCACCCCACCCATATTGATCTAAACCAAAAATTATAAGTTTAGTGTGTACGTGTGTATAACGACCATTTGCTAACAAGTTTATTTAGGCACAAACGGAGCAAGTGTTTAATAACAGTGTCTAAAGAAGTTTATAAACGTGGCTTATGCGAATAATCTTTTGTACATTTTTGCAAAAGACCATGAATACATTCTCTTAGTGAAGTGTGGAATGCAGAGTGATAAACATTAAAATACCAGAGTAATTTTAAATATCTACCGAGAACAACCGTTCATTTCCAACTCGTGACTAAAGCACCGAAAACGCTTATTTGAAGTCCTTCTTGTACATAAGGAAGTAGATCTGCAAACTCCACAATAGGAACTGCCATGTTACACAAAGGCTTCTGCGGTAGTTTTTATTTCTATAATTGATCTTAACGAGAACAGCGAACGACTTTTTGATATCAAGCACCTTTGTGCAAGAACAGAAAAATGTATCTGTGACAGTAAAGGGATATTGATAGCGTTGAACTGCTACAACCCTTGTGGACTTAAGCTGTACTTTATTGATTTATAAGGCTATAATTTAATAAATAATGAAGAAAATTGATTTGAATGGTTCTTTTGTTTTAGTTTTTTATTAGAACAAACAGGAATTTTGAAAACAATAAGAAAAACAGGACCGGTTAAATTAAAAAGGTGGGACTGACTTTATATCTGCAGTGAAACTACCTTTTTCGGTCTCATTGTGATAAATAAAAGGTGGGAATAAACAAACAAACAAATAAACGAAGTTTGATGCATTTATTGTATATAACTTAGGAAGTCATAAGTTGGTGCAAAGAAAACCGCCAATCAAACAATCAAATAAAATAATACAAAATTGTAAATACTAGTTATTTATTTACATTTTTATTGTAATGGTATATGTTTATTTCCTATAATCAGTCGAATTAAATTATATTGCAAAGAAATTTTCTATCATATGATCATTTTACGAGTATTACAATTTTACTATTACAATTGCAATTATGGAACGGTTTTTTGTTAGGGATTTTCTTGAAAAAGTACTCATGGATGGCTTCCATTAGGACTTGTCCTTTGTTAACTATATGATACTTGAAGCTATTTTAAAGATCATTCTCAAAAGGCTAGTCAGACATGGCGTAGGTCTTTGTTATCTTTTAAATCGGCTCAACGCCTGTGTTCAATGTTCTGAATGAAATACATTTTGTAAAATTTTCCTTGCGTCTTCTTATAAGAATTAAAAAAAGTTAATTAAATAAATAATAAAATTGGCGAGATTGTTTCAGGCATATACGAACTATATTTTGTTTCTTTGTGTCATGCACAAGGGATATGGATTATTATTAAATATTTCTGTTTTTGTTAACTAAAACGGATTTAAATTTTTTACAATTAGTTACCCTCGTAGGTGCCAAAAAGCAGTCCACGGCAACAGCTATAATTACAATAAATGAACTCAACCGATTTTTTTAGATAATTCACTTGAGTTCTCGTAGGCAGAACCCTTTTTTGCCTAGTGCACCAATTGTAAGGATAAGAAAATTACAATATAAAGTATTCAGATGCGGATGATATATTGTATTATATAAGAATCACAAGTGTAAATCGAACAAGATTTTATTTGTGGTAGTTTTGTAACATTATGGTGACGTAGGAATATGCCGCTTTCAACACCTAAAAAATATATACAAGTTGGATGGCCGGTTAGACGTTTAGGGTGAACAAGACGTAGGACCGTTGATATTTTAAATAGGACACCCTGTATATTATTGGATTTTCCGTTTCGCTATCAATTTTTGGTTATTTTTGTACAATATATACCTACTTATCTTTGACGGTTTTCGAGAAATTAATTATTTTTCCTATTTTTTTCAAAACAAAGCTCCAATTAAATTTTTATTGTAGCCATATTTGAATTTGGAGAAATGTCAAATTTTGGCTATTGTTGACGAAGGTTTAATGCAATATCACATAGATCGTCCTTGCTTTTGTAAACGACCAAATTTTTAGAATGGCCATACGTCTCGTTCACCATAATATTTAACCTGCAATCCGCCGTGAGTCACGTAAACTTGTTTCACTTTTGAAAAATACATATTTCCTTGAAACTTACTTTTCAAGGAAAGTCACCTGGAGTGAAAAATACGAGCGCCCTAACAAATGGAAAAATACATTTAAATAGATTTAAAAATAGAGATAGTTCATAAAACGGGAAGATTGTAATTAAAACACTATGAAAGAAACGCCCAAAGTAAAGTGGTGTTTCTCTTATGCAACAAAATAAGTCAAATTCGCCTTTTCATTTAATGGTTTGTCAGAAACAGAGAAATGGAGATGTACAGTAGTGCAAGTTTTTCTAAATTCCAGTGCCGCGTTGTTGCTCAATTGTTTTCCTTTACTTTTTAAACGAAGGATTATTTTAAATCAATGTAGGTAACTTTTATAAACTAAGCCCACCAGATTGACTTTGAGTGCTAAGCTATCGACAATTACACAATAATTAATAAATTCACCTCTGTTATCAAAAATAAGTCTATAGGTACACGGTATTATGCGCTATACGTACCGCCAAGGATGATTCTAGTGACATTTGCCCGAATGGTCCTTTGGTGACAATCAACGGCCTTTGAGCTCTTACCATCATTATAAACAATATGCTCTTAGCTTCTTTACTGTGTTCATACCATGGACTGTCATATATTGCGCTAGCAATTTGCGTGCTCTGTAATAAATAAAATGATTTGAATACATTGCATAAAAGTTTAAACCAAAGATGTGAGAGTGCAATTTTCGTTCAAAAAATCAATTAATTCATTTCCTTGTAAATGTTGCAAATGTTATAAGTTATTATATAGTTTAATATTATATATGATATATTATTATTTTATTACCTGGACCTTAATTTCGCTACAACTCCAACCCAACACTAGCACGTAAACAACGATAGAGCTGCTGTAAGACAAAATACCCAGTCGCATTATGAACGATTCTTCCTAAAATATTGTAAATAATAAAAAGCTTCGTCTCTGCTAATCAAAAATGGTATTTGGAGATGGTACGTATGAAGACTTATTTTATTTGCTGTTACTAGTGCAGAGGTTTTTCATTTGTATTTTTTTATGATTATTATTTAAAGTGCAGAACAGACTAAATATTTTGAATGGTTAACATTTTTTTTTTAATTTTACATTTTTGCTTGTTAAGTTGATTTTGTAAATAATTTACACTCTTTTTGAACTTGAACCTCACTGTTTTCAATTATTAATGTAAGATATTCATTAGCTGTCAATTGTGCTAAACTATATAGCTACTAGGCCCTGTCTATGCCGATAATACAAGAATTTATGAAGCAAGTATGAAAAAAATTTTGAGAGGGTCCATACAACATGAGCAATTTAATATTTTGTATTATTTTCTTAAAATATGTCTAGTTCTCGTTAAATGTTCTTTCAAAACGAATTATGTGTGTGGAAATCGCTATTTAGAAAGAAAATGGCGTAAAGTGCAGGTTAGTGAGATTTCAATCGCTTTTCAATGTTTATGAATGAACATGAATAATTCAAAAAATAAGTATAACATCTATTTTTTTTTTTTAAAACTGCTCTGTCTGCAAATACGCATGGCGAATAAAATGAGTCTTTTATACAAAATCCTTGTTCGAATAGTCCATAGTTGTCCATAGTTTTCGATAAAACAGTTCGCAATTTTTTCCTACCCATTTGACGTGTCCAGTAGTTTAGTAGTAAATATAGGATAACCCACATTTCTCACCTTTAAGATTGTAAAAGCCGTCAGAGCGACGTTGAACGAGACAGTAATGTACTCCAACAACACCAAATATTTAACTGAGTCGTTTAGATTTTCGACAAACCTAAATGAAACAATAAGAAGAGTTTAATTGGAAACATCCTCACACCTCACAAAGATCGCAGGTTTTAATCTTGTCACGTGAAATTCACACAATTTAGGATTTATACATTTTGATAAATTTGATTACTCACTATATAGCTAATTTAGAAACTAATATTCTAGAAGTGCGGGCTGGCCACTGTCGATGCTTAATATTTCAGAGAAACTTCCACAGAATACTGTTAATCTATTTACTAATTTTCTTCTGGATTCTTCTTGCGTTGGTTGTTGATGAATCGAACTTGCTGATGTTTCGCCAATCATGTTGACTTCTTTAGAGCTTAAATGAAACAGATTCATCAACAGATGCAGGACGAATCCAGAAGATTTGTAAATAGTAATACAGTAGTCTGTGGAAGTTTGTTTGAAATAGCAACATAACAAGCATAATAGTATAAAAGCAGGTAATATAAGTAGGACAGAGCCTGACTAATTTCCTAACATAATGCCCACATCTTTCGACATCTTTGATTGGTATTAAGTGGGCTGCTTTTCTTATGAATGTAACGATGCCACCAAGAAAATATTGATCATGTGGTGGTGGTGCTTACATCTTTTTTATAGAACGTTTTTCATAAAATCCACTTTAATAGTTTGGTCCAAGTATGTTCTGTTTCTTAGTTATAATTTTGGAGACAAAATCTTTAGAAAAAATAATAAATTGAAAATAAGAGTTCTGAGATTATTTAACAGTTTCAACGAATTCCGATTTTTTTTTAAATTTATTTTACAAACAAAATTACGGGCTTTTGATCAAGCGAAAAAATGAATACAAAACAAGTTTTAAACATATAACTTCTGTGGGAACCTCTCAGATAATAGCTGAAGTTAGCATTTCCTGTAAAGTCAGTAACATCTTCAGCAATTAACTTATTTTACTTTAAAATAAAATTAAAATAAGGCAAATTGGTGGCAATATATATTGTTTAAATTATTGTTTGTTATTGTTTATTGTTGAATTTTTAATAAAATTTAAGTAACTCTTTTATTTCCACATCAGTAGTTTTTAACCAATTAACCTTGATTTTGTTGACAGATTTCCATAGCAACACATGTTTCTATAAATATTTCCAATTCGCTGTTGAAAATTCCACTAAAATTCCCGTTGCCATGGTGATCTGTCAATAAAACACATTTTGATTGGTTAAAAATTACAGGTGGGGAATTTTCATAATAACAAAATGCTTTGTTTTATATGTTTGCTATTCGGTTCGAGCTTTTTATATACCTATTTGTAACAAGTGATTAATAAACTTTCTCTTTAATAATTCAAATATTGTAATATATGATTGTTCTACCATGCAAAAGTGTAGAAAAATGGACACCTTGTACTACTTATTGAACCTCTATTGAAGTAAATTTAACTGACCTTACCAGTTGCTGATGTTGGGCTGCAGCAACTTTTAAAGCGTTCAAATCGGTTTTGAGATGCGGCATAGTTTTTAATGTCTTCTGCAACGCTTTTGCCATCGAAGGGACGAATATTATAAAACCGAGAAGCATGCAAGTGCAAAAACTTAGCCATATCATTACAGTCACACCAAGATCGGAATATAGCATTATACAGGTTTGGTATTTTATTGGATCCATGTTAAAATAATATACTTCATATATCAACGGTTTTTCCAAAGTGTTGTTATATAGTTTGTTACGGCGCCCTATTTTAAATCTCGTCAACATATTTTCAAATAACGCAAATCCATATACAAATATATGGGTTATTAATGCAAATATATTGAATTTTTTATAAAATCGAATTTGTTCTGTATAAGTCTCCAACTGCTCTTGATCTCCGGAGTTTTGAATTTCTTTTTCTTTGTTTTCCACAGTGGTAATCGTCTGTTGCAAATTTTTTGACTCGTAAAAAAGAACCTTAATCAATGCTACGTAAATGGACACCAAATAAGCCGAGTTTGAAAGTAATCTGTCAGTTAGTTCTTTTGACCTATTTTTTTCAGTAAATACTGTTGCAACCCATAGGCTCATCGAAGTTGTAAAGATCACTGCAAAGACATGAACAACTATTGAATAAATCACATATACTCTTCGAAGAGCAATACGATTCGTAAAGTTTTTGCGATAAATGCCTAATGCAATCATGGCAATCTTCGGAATCCTCAAAATTTCTTGATTTTTTGCCGACTTCATCTTAGGAAATTGAGTTACCTGAAAGAAAATCTGTAGTAAATGTGACATATTTTCGTTTGTTGTCATTCTACATTTAAAATGGTGACAAAAAAAGGAAATTTTTTAGACTTGGCGAAGTGATAAAACCAACAGACTAACAAGCAAGAATTAACACTTTTTTGTGAATTATGAATAATGAAGAACTCAGGAAAAGAAGAAAACAGGTAACTTGCAAATTTCTTTCGAAAAATACACAAATTAAAGGAATTGTCCCAAGTCCCAAAACTTTCCACCTGCGTCAGTTGTTGATAAACTGAACTTAGCTGAGGCTGATTCATTTCTTTTGCCTTTGTCTACCCAAGTTAATTGAGTCAAAATGAACTAATTTTTATCAGAAAATTAACACAATTTATTGTTAGGCCGTATTTAAAGAAGTAGTGACAGCAAAATGGTTCCGACAGCATTTCAAAGCATTTCAAAATCGCGAAACTCGTTGCTACATGTGTGGCGCTTGTCATCTTACCATTATGTTGTCGTTGCAGATAATACCAGTAGATATAATACCTGCGTTCAACAGCAATTTCGGCCGTTTTTACACGTAAATTCCCATAAGAAAATTTAAGGTTCATTGTAGTTGAAATTGGTCCCGGTCAAGGTCATTCGATCCATACCCTCTTAGCACCAACTAACCGTCTCCCTCAACCCCAACCCCCTCCCGCAACCCCTCTCAAACCCTCCCACAACCGTCACCCCCCCCCCCCCACCACCCCCTCAACCCTCACACCCCCATTTCACAACCCTCTCACAACCACTCAACAGATGTGTTAGTCAGGTGACTCACCTTTTTTTCGCGTCTACCGAGGATCGAACCCGGGATCCGTCGCTTGTCGACCGCAGACTTTAACGCCGAGCTAACGAGCATATTAAAACCAATGTGTAATTATGTGTTTGATCTCGAGAATGATGACTCATCTTATTCCTGCCGAAGATCGAACCCGAAATTCGTCCGTCGTTGAACGGTCACTTTAATGCCGAGCGAATTATGTACCGCCGGTTCCGTCTCGTTGCTGCTAGATGTCGTGCGTGCGCGCTCTTGACAGTATTCCTATCAGCGGCTGCGTCACCCCGGCAGGTGACGGAGACGCTAGGACGGGATGACGCGGTGATCGGGAGTATAGGATCGACGGTAAACAAGTCGAGTGAGTTATACATAGTGCCTTAATAATCAGGTACACCCGGTGTGTTCAAGTTTAATTAAAGAAAACTATATACAATAACAAATATTTATCCAGAAGGGTCTTCTTCTTCTTCTTTTGCGTCCACTTTGTCGTCCATAAACGATGTTCCTGCTGATGACGTTCTTGTTCCCGTTCTTTCAAGAAATCTATATAGGAAATACACTCCTCACCGTCTCCCTCTGTCGACCACCCACCCTGCTGGATGCGCCAACATAATGTGTGTGAAAGTTGCACACACATACCAACATTCACATTTCTACTTCTTGTCATTTAAAAGACATTAAAAACACTATATACTTCAATTTAATTTGATTATTTTTACAAGTAAAAACGCGGATTATTGTCAAACGGAGAAATCGTGTTTTTTCTAGAACAAACAAGAAACAAAATATGTATATGTCGCGTTGCCTATAAAACAGATTTTTTAAACAAAACTTTTAGTAAGTGACGTAAGTAAAGTCACATTTCTATTCCCTGTCATTTAAAGGATATTTAAAAAACACTATATATTTCAATTTAATTCGATTATTATGCAACGTAAAAAGTGGATTATTATATTGTAAAAACAGGTAGGAACTGACCAAAAAAGTGATCATTGTTTTTTTTTGTTATTCAAAAATCACTGAGAAAATTAACGAAAACTGAAACCCACAAAAACAAAACAAAAAAAAAGACTCGCACTGTATTAGGGTAAATTAAAATCATAAAACTTATCAGTTGTAGAGTCATAGGGAAATAGATACCGCACTTGACATTGCACTGAATATAGTCTACAATACACATTAAATATATTTATTCACATGTTCTCCCGTCCATGGTTAAATTAAAAATTAAAAATTGACTTAAAAATCGAAAGGCACACAAACGCATATTTGAATAAACACGCTGAACGTATGTTGTCACCAGAGAGCCATGCAGGTGGGAGTCTCAAGGTCCACGTGCTCAGACGGGAACGACTTGACGCACAACCGCCTCGGACGTGCAGTCTCCCGCATGCAATTTTAAAGCGTGTCGACTTTCACTTGACGTAATTTGGCAAAAAAAATTAACACCCAACAAAATTACTGATAGCACACGCAAATATATTTTGCGCCTTAAAAGCAAAGGCGATCCATCCGCCCACTAGGATATCACCGCACCGTAGTCTCTTATCTGCGGTTGCGAGGCATTGACATCGCAAATTGGTTCGAGATAAAGTTGAATATATTGAAAAATTGAATCCAATAGCACATTTAATCTTTAAATAAATGTCTTCTAGATTGATAAACACTTTTTCAAACTAGGCATTTTGCAAATCGGTCGTCTGTTTGCTGTTAACGGTAGACACGTACTATAGGTACTGGTTAGTTGCAAAATTAAAAACCAAATTTACAGGAGTCAAACTGTTTATTGACAGTGGAAAATATAATAAAAGTAGTTGGAGGTAATAAGCGAAAAATATTAAGGACTTCCGGTCATTTTTATTCTAAATATGCCCAAAATATAATGAAAAAGATCAAAATATTTAATGCATTTTTAAAATAAAAATTTAACGAGGCTGCCAGACGCGAACTGAGCCCTTAAGCGCACCTCATTCGATTTTTTTAGGAAAAAAACGAAATTTCAAAGCAAAACCGAAAACACATTTATAATCAAGCGGAGACAGTTTCTTCTTCCATAATCGAATAGTGACCCCACGGTAACGTTTCTACTGACGACTTTGATATGCGACGTTTATCATCGCAAGGACTTAACCCGATCTTCTTTTGGGATACTGTGTGCAACTCCAGTTTGCTCGCTCTTATTAAATTCTGCGATATGTTTTTTTCAGCGAAATTTTGCAAACAATCGACGAAATCTTCAAAAGTTATCTTAGTTTTGATGAAGGATTTTTTAACTCCTTTGATCCTCTTCGTTACACCCAAGTTTTTAAATTCACGTTCAAATGCTTCTCGATCTGTTTCTGCAGCCATCAATTCTTGTTTTGCGGACTCCTCTTCCTCCGGTGTCTTGTATAGCTTTGTGGCGTACATTTTAGCTCTAAGTCCGATAAAATGAGACATAATTCGTCCATTGTTCTCATCCTTCATCATACCCAGAACCTTTTTATTGACTGTGGGTATACCGTACGGATTATCCTCCGCATAGTCCGATGTATCAAAATACCGGAAACAATCCTTTTTTAAAATCTCGTACGGGTCTATGGATAATATCTCGTAAACAAGAGAATCCGTGTCGGTATATAAAACTCGGGAATTGGAAAATCTTTCTTGAATGTAGTTGTAGTGAAAGTCATAAATTGTTGTCTTGGCTATCTCCATAATTGACATCCCAACGTAGATAGGTTTGTTAAAATATATTTCAGATTTTTTTAATTCAATAAGAACGAGATTTTTACTAATTATAGTTGCACTTTTAAATTCGGGTCGGGCAATCAGAGCTTCCGCACCGTAGCGACCTTGCCAGTTTTTCACAAGCTTAACTTTGGAATGGTTCCGTATGTTTTCCATTGTTTTTCCAAACACAGCATTGATCATCAATTTAAACAAGTTCTTTTCAAACTCGTTTTTGGCAGCCTGACGTAGTGCAATGTTTAGGTCGATATAGGCTTTTAACCAAGGCGACTGGCTGAACGAGACGGCTCGATGTACCTTTCTTAACTTAGCTCCCAGTTGTAGCGCCTGTTTCAGATTACGATAGTGAATGACATACTCCTGTTTGTCGTATAAGGTGGTCAGTAATTTTTGATTTTCGGATCCTGGAGGGCAGCGATGTTCGGGACATGGAGGTAAATCTGCAAATTTGTCGTGCAACTCCTTGGGTATTTCCAAATCGACCTCCAAGATGTAGCCGACGTCCGACTCGTTGGATATATTTAAAATGTCAAGATTTTCGATTTGCTGTTCATCCAACCAATTAAAACCTCCGTACGGTAGGTATTGAGACATTGCCCACCCGTATTGGTTATTGACGTCGAAATACATCAAGTATTTATCAACTTTGGAGGGATCGTAGCTGTGCATATATTTGTTGTTGGCTTCCGCATATCGTTTGGAGCACTGACTAAGGCCTCCTCGCATTCCTTTCTCGATAAACAAAATCATGTCGACGTCAGTGAGTAGATCGAGTTTTTGCTTCAATTTATACAACATACAGCTCCACGCGTATCCCGGCAGTGTGTACGCATGTGCAGGATCAAGTCCATAGGTCTTATGTGACGTTTCTCGAAACCTCTCAAAAACGTCTGCCAAGAGCAGGATGTCCGTCTTCATATAAAGTTCAGAATAATCCTGCAAATTTCGACATCCAAATTTCTCCCAGACTTCCTGAGCACGTTTGTAATCTTTTTTGGTCAACGGTTTGTCATCCAATATGTTATAAAATGCCGAAATAGGAGGCAAAACAGTTTCTTTCAACGTATTCCATCCATTCATATAATCGTAGGGGAAAACGCCTTTTTGTTTCAATATATTGGCTTGCTCCTCCGACAATTCACTAAATTCGAGCTCCAGTATTGGATATTCCGTTAAATTAGCCGCCAGCTTATCCAGGCCACTCGACATAAATCGAAAACTGTCGATGAATCGGAATTTCACCAGGTTGTCATTTAGGTGCCACGTAAAGGAAATATACTTTTCCTTGTTTACAGGTAGCAAGTCGATCGACCCATCACATTTGGCTAGAGCTTTTATTATTATATTTCCGTCATACGACGAAAGATTATGAAATACTACGGGAACGGTGTGACCATCCCTAAATTGGAGATTACAATTTTCGTGTGCGGGTCCCCTGTATTTCCCAGTCAGGTGACAATGGTCTCGA